TCCCATGCCCTGTGCACCTGTGCCCTGTGTGTCTTTTGAGTCGACTCAAAAGTCACCTCATGCCCTGTGCGGCTGCGCCCTGTGTGTCCCATACCTCATGCCCCATGCCCCGTGTAGGCCATGAGTAAGGCCAAGAAGCTCTTCCAATTCGAAGCCTATGAGGGCTTCAAGACCGTGGAAGCCTCCTGGCGGGACCAGACGTACCTCTTCCTTCCCGCCAACGTCCGAGGCGTCCACCTCTGCCGCCTCCCCTCTCGCCTCATGCCCAAACCATGCTCTCTCCCTTGCTCCACACACCAGGCCATGAGCGAGACCAAGAAGCTCTTCCTCTTCGAGGCGTACGAGGGGTTCAAAACGGTGGAAGCCTTGGACCTGCATGCCTGTCCCCTCCACCTTTATTCATGCCCCATTCGCCATTTCCCCATGCCCCGTGTAGGCCATGAGCAAGACCAAGAAGCTCTTCCACTTCGAGGCGTACGAGGGGTTCAAAACGGTGGAAGCCTTGGATCAGACGTACCTCTTCCTCCCCGCCAACGTCCGAGACGTCTACCTCTGCCGCCTCCTCTCCCGCCTCCTCCCCTCCCTCCCCACCATCCTCCCCCCCGCCCCGCCCCTCCCCGCCTCTGCTGCCGCCCGCCCCACCGTGCGCTCCGTTATCGTCTTCACCTCCTCCTGCCAGTAAGTGGTAGGAAAAGGGGGGGGGGGGGGGAGGGGGGGGTATGTTGTTTAGTGCAATTAAGAGTTTCTCTTCCCACCACCACTCTTCTGCCGCCCGCCTCACCATGCGCTCCACTGTCTTTGCTTTCACCTCCTCGTGTCAGTGAGCCTTCAATCCGTTGGGGAAAGGGAGGCTGTCGAGGTGAGGGGACTGGGGTGTGATGGGGCAAGTGGTGCTGTGCTTTGCTGCCGCCCGCCCCACCGTGTGCTCCACCCTCTTCGCCTTCACCTCCTCCTGCCAGTACGCTTTGGGAGCAGAAGGGAGAAGGAGGAGGGGTAGTGGGTATGCTTGAGGGGACTTTTGAGTCACCTCAAAAGTCACCTCAAAAGTCACCTTTTGAGTCGACTCCGAAGGGAGAAGGAGGGGGGGAGTGGGTGTGCATGAGTGGATGGAATGGGGCAAGGCGTGCTGTGGTCCAGTGCTGGCCACCCCACTTTGCTCGCCACAATTGTCTTCACATCCGCTTGCAAGCAAGACTTAATAAAAGAGCTCAAGGAGGGGGGAAGGGGAGAGAGGGGGGGCTCTCTTGGTCTGGTGTCCCTCGACCCTGCCCTCCCCACTGTCCGCTCCGTGTTGTCTGCACCTCCTGCTGCCAGTAAACTTTAAAAAGGTGGGGGCGGGGGCGGGGATGGGGGAGGGGGAGGAGGGGAGGGAAGGGGAGTCCTGTTCTAGTTATTCCTGGGGCACTGGCGGCTGCTTAGTGCGATCTAGGGCTCCTCCGCCCCCCTACCCTACCCACCTCTACTTGCCTCCCCCTGTCCACTCTGTTACAGTTGTCGTCATCTCCTCCTGCCAGTTTGCCTTTCACCCTGGTGTTTAAGAATTGTCAGAAACACCGTGTCTGCTCCATTGTACTCTTCACCTCTTCCTGCAAGTAAGCCTTTCAGCCTTCCAGCACTGCCTTCTTGGGTTTCCGGTTCAAGGGGTCAAGGGTCCAATGTGCCAGGCGTGCTTCGAGGAAGCACCACGCGTGTGTAGGTTTGAGTTGCCTCAAAACTTGTCTGTTCAAGTTGTTAAGAGTCCAACGTCTCGGCTGCGCTTGGAAGAACCACCTCGTGCGTGCAGGTTTAAGCTCTATGATGACCTCATGTCAGCATCTAGATTCACACGTGCCCCTTGACACATGCCCTCACACATGCCCTGACACGTGGCCTGAAACGTTGCCTGACACGTGGCCACCCACCCTTCCCCTTCCTCCCCCTTTTCTTTCCTCCACGCTCAGCTATTGCCAGGCTGTCAGCGCCCTCTTAGACAAAGTGGGTCTCTCCAACGCCCCCCTGCACGCCCTGCTGCTGCAGCGCAAGCGAACAGCTGTCATCTCCTGGTGTCAAGGCAGCTCCATCCCTTTCTCGCCTCTTCTCCCCAATCTCCCACCTCATGTCAGGCTGTCAGCGCCCTGTTGGACGAGGTGGGCCTGTCAAACGCCCCCCTGCACGCTCTGCTGCCACAGCGCAAGCGGTCAGCCTCTGCTGCCACAGCGCTTTTGTCAGCCTCCCTGCACCGCTTCACGGCTGCTAGTTGATCTGCCCCTCCCCCTTTTCTGCCCCTCCCCCTTTTCTGCCCCCTTCTCCCAGCTCATGTCAAGCCGTGAGCGCTTTGCTTGACGAGGTGGGCCTGTCCAACGCCCCTCTGCACGCCCTGCTGCCGCAGCGCAAGCGGTCAGCCGCCCTCCACCGCTTCAAGGCTTCCCAAGTGCCCATTCTGGTGGCCACTGACGTCGCTAGCAGAGGGCTGGACATTCCTACAGTTGATCTTGTAATCAACTACGATATTCCCAGGTGGGTGCTACTATCAAGTGTGACAGTAGAGGCGCACGTGAGTGCAGTCATGTCATTCAAGACTTCCCAAGTGCCCATCCTGGTTGCCACTGACCGTGCCAGTAGAGGGCTGGACCTGGTTGTCAACAACGACATCCCCAGGTGGGCCCTGGTTTATTGACATGGTAGCAACTCTGTGATTCGAGGCTTCCCAAGTGCCCATTCTGGTGGCCACAGACGTTGCTAGTAGAGGGCTGGACATCCCACAGTGGACCTGGTCGTCAACTACGACATTCCCAGGTGGGTACAGTGTAGGAGTGTGGGGTGAGGCACTCCAACTAGAGCTGCAACTGCGCCCATCCTGGCTGCCACTGACGTCGCCAGTAGAGGGCTGGGCGTCCCAACGCTACCTTGAGTTGAGAGACTCTTCGTTTGTGATTGGGGATGAGCCTTACTGGGTCCTCTTTCGCCTCATTCTTTCAACGCTTCGCCACTGCAGGTTCACCGGGGACTGTGTGAGCAGCGTGGGAGGAACGGCATGAGCAGGGAGGGGCGCCCCTCCCTGCTCTATCACGATTTTTGAGGCGACTGTAAACGCCCCACTCTATCACCCTTCTGCTCTGCCCCACTGCACTTTCACCCGGGACTATGTGCGCAGGGTGGGGTGAACGGCATGAGCAGGGAGGGGTGGCAGAGAGACGATGCTTGAGACTTCTTTTGACAACTCTTTCACCCCAACCTCTCCCTTCAGGTTCACGCGAGACTATGTGCACCGGGTGGGACGAACAGCGAGAGCAGGGCGGGGCGGCCGTGCCATCAGCCTTGTGACGCAGGTGAGGGAGTGAGAGGGACAGTAATGGATGGTGCAGTGAGAGTGTGAGTGGCTGGCAGCCCTGAGGTGAACACCGCACTGCAAGTGATCATTTGTGTGTGAAATGGGAGTGGTTACACCAGGCGGACCACGCACAGCATGGAGGCAAAGGGAGGGAGGGAGGGAAAAGGTGGCTATTTTTGAGGCGCCTAAAAAATAGACTCCTCAGGCAAAGGGAGGGAGGGAGGGGAAAGGTGGGGAGAGAACGCCTGTGAGAGGCAGGGGGAACACACCTCTAGCGGCGCCAATACAGATGCATATGGTCGTATTGAGTCTTCTAATAAAGCATTTTCTCCTTTGTTCCCCCCCCCCCACCACCACCACCCCCCACTCCCTCCCACGGTACGATGTGCACCTGGTGCACAGCATCGAGAAGCTCATCGGCCGACAACTGGCGGAATGCAGTGATGGTGCAGAGTGTGTGTTCACCTTCGGCATTTGTTCTTTCTCCTCCCCTCCCCCCCCCCTCCCCCTCCGTCGATCCTTCCCGCAGTACGACGTGCATCTGGTGCACAGCATCGAGAAGCTCATCGGCCGACAGCTGGCGGAGTGCACTGACGTGACTGAAGGCGATGTGCTTAAATGCATCAGCAAGGTGACTAAAAACAGGATTGATGTGCTTAAGAAACGTGCATAAAAGCTACAACGGAGAGGGAGGGTGAACAAGAGTCAATCTGGGGGATTTTTCGAGTCCTGTCACTCCCTATCTCACGCCTTGCTCTTATTCTGAGTTAGACATAGTTCTGCTTTTAGCTCTGCTTCAGAAAAAATTAGCGCTTTTTTGAATGCTCAAGTGCTTGAAGCGAAGTCATCCGCTTGCTACCAGGTGTTCAAGGCTAGGAGGAGCGCTGCTGAAGGCGTCGGAGAGTGGGTTTGAGGAGAGGGCGAAGCAGAGTTGAGTGTTTAAATGGTTCTCTTTCCTGTTTCTCCACTCTTTCTCCAGGTGTTCAAGGCTAGAAGAGCAGCGCTGCTGAAGGTGTCAGAGAGTGGGTTTGAGGAGCGAGCCAAGCAGAGGTCCGAGCAGAAGCGGAAGATCCGGGAGGAGCGGCGGGCACGAGAAGGGAGGGAGATGAACACTTGAGAGGTGGAGTTGGTGGTGTTAACGGCAAGGAGAGGGCGGTGCAGAAGCGATGGACACGGGAGGAGCAGAGGGAGTGCGAGGGGAGTGAGAGGAACACTTGAGAGGTGGAGTTAACGGCAAGGAGAGGGCGGTGCAGAAGCGGAAGATACGGGAGGAGTGGAAGGAGCGCGAGGGGGCCCAGAAAGACAAATGAGAGGGAGTGTTTGGGGCACGGTTGTGGTGGCTACTGGCAGAGCTGGATGGGCGCTCTATTTCCACGTGCAGCAATACCAACAGCTCCAGCACCAGCAGTAGTGTTTGCAAGACTCACCTGCCATTGCTGCCTGCCAGTTCTCAGCCTTCCTCCATTGCAGCTGCTGGCTGTCCATGCGTATAAGCTAATGGTACTGTACTGTAGGTTTGCTTGCTCGTCCTGAAGCCACCCAATAATGCAGAGCTGGGCGTGTAGAGTGTGGTGCATGGCTGCCAGATTTCTTGTTGATCTGAAACGAGTGCATGTGTGAATGGAGATTACGTAACATGCGAGCCGATAATGACGTAACAGAATCGGTTGCTGCTGGACAGTTAGTGTACCACGTTTGCTGTTGCACCTGATAACCTAGGCAGCTTATTTCATCCAACACTGTATCCAGAACCCGCCCCATGATGACTCCGATCCTTGTATGGATAACATGCCAGTAATGCAGGTTTCATGTGACATACCCTCTCCCCTGCCGCAATACATCATACCCTGGGCTGGGCGTGACTGCTGTTGAGTGCAGAAAACCCATGTAGTTATAGAAATTCTCAAAACGGTGCCTGGTGCCTCCCTCCCAAGCACATCCAAACAGACACCGCCACCCAATGCACCAAGATGGCCGCCCACGCTGATCCAGTTCTCCGGTACACTACGAGACAGGCCGACCCCAGCACCACACAGCATAGCAGAAAACCCGGGTGCGAAAATAACCTTAACGCGGCAGGGCGGCCCATCCATGCTGAAAACGGATGTGCTAACACGTATAGTGATGTTGAAAGGACGCCGTAAAACACTTTTGGATCTGCGAGCCATTCCCGAGGAAGCGGGGAGGAGCGCAGAGACGGGAAGGCGGAGTGGAGGGAAGAGAGGAGGGGAGAGAGGAGGGAGGTAATCCGAGAGGAGAGGGAAGCGAGGCGAGTGTGCAGCCAGGGGGGAAGAGGCGAGGGGGGCTCGTCTGGGTGCGGATTGAGGAGCACTCTCCAGAAGAGCTCTTCCCAGAAAGAAGGGAAGACGAAGACAAAGAGGATGAGGCGGATTGGGAAGCCGGCCTGGGGGAGGTAGAAGGCGTCGGCCCACGAGGCGAAGATGTACATGAGGGGGGAGATGGCGAGGATGGTGAGGAGGGTGACGCGTAGGTGCGCTGGGGAGGGGAGCGTGGTGAGGGCACGGGACAGGCGGAGGAAGGCGAGGGAGAGGAGGGAGGGAGGGGGGGCTGGAGGGGAGGATGCGTTGCTGGTGCCTGGGGGAAGGGGGGAGGGGGGCGGGGGTAAAGGGAGAAAGGTGAACATTAGACAAAGAAGAGGAGGTTTAACAGCAGGTTCCCAGCCGGCTTGGAGGACGGGGAAGCCAGCTTGGGGGAGGTAGGAAGAGGTAGAGGATGGAGGGGGGGTTGGAGGGGCGGATGCGTTGCTGGTGCCTGGGGGAAGAGGGCAATGGGGAAACGGGGAAATGGAGGATGGGGAATAGGAAGGGAAGGGAAGAAGACAAAGAAGAAGAGGTTAAACGACAGGTTTCAAGCTGGCTTGGAGGACGGGGAAGCCGGCTTAAGGGAGAGGGAACAAGGCTTGGGGGAGTTAGAAGGCATCGGCCCAGGAGGCGCATAAATACATGAGGGGGGAAATGGCAATGATGGTGAGGAAGGTGAGGCGAAGGTGGGAGAGGGAGGGGAGCGTGGTGAGGGCGCGGGACAGGCGGAGGAGGAGGAGGGAGGCTTGGGAGGAAGGGGGGGTGGGGTGCGGTGGAGAGCCAGAATAGTTGGTGGTGCCTGGGGGAGCGAGGATGGAGGAATGGTAGGGAAGGGGAAAAGGGCTGCAGGTGGTAAGGGGATGGGTGTGGTAAGAGGGGGAGGAGAAAAAGGAGGGTGAGATTCCAGCGCGAAAAGTTGCACGACCAGCATGGTTACACGCAAGTTAGCCGCTCATGCATCTCTCATACAGCATAATGAGCGAAAGCTCATGGTGCCTAATGAGAGTGGCTCATGGTTTAGTGAACCATGACTCGTGAAAGACAGTGAAGCTGAGGTGCATAAACGACCCAAGTGGAAGATGTTGAGGATAAGGCTAGCATGACAACAGAGGGCCTGCGAAGGGAGATAGCCACGGCAACAGTGTGTTACCGAGGTACTGACCGAAGCTGGTGCTGCTGTTGTGAGCGCCATTCTGCTCCATCCCCTCTAAAAGCGGTCCCGCTTCTGCTTCTGCGCCCTGTGACGCCGAATTCGCCACCTCGTCCACCATCGGATTCACCTCTCCGTTTCCGACCTCCTCCCCCCCCCTGGCCTCGCCGTGAGGTCTGTTCTCTTGCTGCTGCAGCTGGCCGTCCATTTGGCCGGCTAGCCGCTTACTGGTGTGCCGTGGCGTGACACGATGGGAAACACGGGCCAGTCCCAAACTGCCAGCTGGCGATGCGATCCTGAGGAGCAAGGGATGGCAATGTCGCTTTGGATGGACACTGAACGGTTGAGAACGGCTGAAAGTGGTGGCGAAGGAGGAGGTGGCTGTCAAAGAGAATACGGTGGGAGGTGTACCCCTCGTAGGATCCCAGAAAACACTCTGGGAAGAAGCGTTTCGCCTCGATAGTTTTCGGCTGAGGCTTTTTGGAGTTGTAGCCCTTGCGCCTGCGCAAGATGGGATCACGGTCGGGTAACTCGCTCCTGATGCTGAGTAACGAACTTTCGCGAATGTGTTACTCGACCGGGTTATGCCTGTTGCTGATGTCGTGTCTGCCTGCGCAGGCACCTGATACGACCTGTTCGTGCCTGATAGCGGAGGTGACAATAGCGATGGGTCACAAATAACTTTCGAGCAATGGTACCTAGCAGAACCCCCGATGCAGCCGGTTAGCAGGCGATGCAGGGTTATTCTCATTGGCTTAGTGGGTCATAACTAGGAGAGTCATCCTATTCGTGACATACATTTTGAGGAGATGACTAGTTTCAGGTAGAAGAGCCCATGCGAAGAGTACAGTTTGTACAGTTAGTTACTACAGAGGAGGGAATTCGCTGGTAATGCTGCGTCGAGAGTACGCTCTGCTAAAATGCGTGACGAGCAGAGGGGATCAACGCTCACTCGGTCGTAATGCGGCGCAGGCGACGACTGGACAGGGTGTAACTCGACAGGACTAGGAATTGAGTAGGTAAATGGGCTGGAAACGCGGCTGAGGAAGAAGCTGCCAGCATGTGCCGAAGTGGGATGTACAAGTGCGAATCTGTGCAAGGAATACAAATCCCGAGGCAACCAACGGATGGATCAAACGCATGAATGGACAAGGTGGAGGCTGTGAGGGAATTCCCGAGGATTCTATAATTCTTTTAGGACAAAGTTATAGCGCCTGTCAAGCATGTGGTACAGCCCTACCTGATACGGGGAAGCACATACTGCCCGGATGTCAGGGGAGCTCGACGCTGGCGGCAATATTTCCCGCTCTCTCAAACTGGTGATTTCGAGTCTACCAGTCAGGTTCAGTGTCGCATATATTGACTGAACCAGAATCAGCGAATCAAGCCGACCCAATTAGAATGCCCCACGACCTAGGTTTGTGACTAACGAATTGTTAATAAATCTCGCATGACCTCGCCAGTGCTACCTGGCGACACTTTCAGAGGTCCTGGCGTTAACGGTCGCGCAGTGGCCGCTAGATCGACATGTCCCACGGGTCAGCTCGCAAACTCTGTACCAACTGCATGACACGGGGGCAACTCGCCCTTGTAGTCCTTTTGGAGTAGACATGAGTTGATGGATCTGGAAAATGTAGCGAGTTCCAGAACAGCAAAATGTGCTGTATACAAATGTAGCATTTCTCATAATTCACTGTAGAAAGCACATTGGTAAATCCGATAGAGGCACCGATTCCTCACTACGTTATTGAGCAGCTCTACCTTCCGCCCAGCATTCCTCCTAATTGCTTGCCACGTGGCCTCGGCTCTCCATAGGAACCTCCCAGGCAGCCATCCTCTCTCGCATGCACGCGAGTCGTTTCCGCCCCTCTCGCCCCAGGCCTCCCCCCCCAACCATGAATCCGCCCCGCTCCGCCCCGCTCCGCCCTGGTCGGCCTCCATCTTCACCCAACGCTTATGCGCATGCCTTATCTCCCCCTCCCCGCATGGCTCGTTGGCGCGCGCCTCCGCGGAAGCAGAGGTCGCGGGGGAGCGGGAGAGGGGAAAGGGAAAGGAAGGGGCTGAGCGCGCAGTGCGGCAGCAGGCGGAAAATGTGTCGCTGCCGCCGCCGAACCTCCTCGCAATACTAGTAGTAGTAGCCGCGCCAGCTCCGCCGTCGGCTCGCCGAGCGGCAATGTCTGTTCCGCCTCGGCCCTGTGGTAGCAGCTCATAAGGCAACGGGCTGATACCTACTAGGTAAGCTCCAGCACTCCAGTAGCATCCTTTGGCTTTCAGTGCACCTCTCAGCTGCGCAACTGAGGCGCAACTGGAGACATCATTTTAGCTGCCAAATTTCAGTGTACCTCTCAGCTTGTGTCTCAGTGAGTCGTGGCTATGGCGGGGACGGCGAGGCTTCTGGTGACGGCGATTGCGCTGCTTGCAGCGGTCACGGCTGTGTCCGCGTTTGGGCGATACAGGAACGACTACAACGATTATCAAGAGGTGCAACAGGGCAGTGCAAGACAGGAGCAGGGCAGGGTAAGGCGGGGTCCGCGCACTGGATCAGTTTTCTGGTTGAAAGGTTAGGAAACAATAGGAAACAAAGCGCCGTTTTACTTGCAATTTAGGAGGTAGGGCTCCTAATGTTATTATTCCCACTTATTATAGCCTCAGTCAAATTGATTTATATTATTTGAAGTTCCATGTGATATTCCTGATACATTTTGACCCTCCATGCAGCCTGCCTCAGGGTTTGGGAAAGTGGAAAATATGGATGAAACAGTTGCACAGTCGGGGTTCTTGTACCTGTCGTCCTTACCTGCTGGTCTAAGCAAGCTCATGCCTCCAGTTGTCAACATCTATATCCTGGTATGGTTCCGCCTTATCAATTCATCTATTGCAGACTAGTTTTTGTAATTTTCTATTTCGGTGCTCAATATACGTTTTTTAGATCTATCCTCTGCACGTTCCTGACTATCCCCTTCCCTGTTGATTGTCCTCTTTCCACCAAATTATCTCCCGCCGTGTCCCGTCTTTCCCAACCCCTCAGCTTATCCACGTGTATCTGGCATGGAGCACCGTGGTTCTTGTGCTCTGGTCCCTGGGCCTTTCCCACACTCACGTCCGTGCATGGGTGCATACGCATGGACTGACTGCCAAGGCCACTGTTCACAAGCTAAAACTACGTTCAGTCAGTTTCGTGGTAAGTCTTGATAAACGAATTCTTCCTGGTTTATCGATTCTTTACACACAGACCTTTGCAATAATATGCTTACGTTTGATTTTTCTCTCCTTTTCTAAATCTGCAGAGCAGTCAAGCCAGCTCGGTGTATCTGGTTATCAGGTGCGTAATATCATTGGCAGATTACCAAACTTCAGTTTGCACTTTATCCACGTTTCTTCTTGATTTTCCTACTGCCGCCGTTATTTACTGTCTGCATATGTTTCTCTGATGCTTGGCAGAAATCTTTATGTTTCGATTTGCAAGATGATGGCGGAATCAGCAGTACAGGAAACAAAGCTTCACAACTTATCCGAGCAGGTCACGGATCTCAAGGCTGAAATGACCACGCGGATGAGCGAGATGCTGCTGCTGCTGCAGGCAGTGAGGCAGGAGGTTCAGGATGGTCGTCAGGTGAAGCCGACAGAGGCAGATGAATGGAAAGAGCTTCGGAATGGGCTGAGTTCCAAATTAGAAGGGAGGATGGTGCAGGAAGAGGAGATGAGGAAGGAGGAGGGGTGTGGGAGAATGGAAACAGAAGAAAAGTTTGATGGGTTTTCAGCAGGTGAGGGATGTGTGATTCAAGATGACTTATCTTTGTCAGGGAGGCAATTTCTGGATGAGGTGGTGGAGGAGTATAGCAAGGAGATGGAGGAGGAGAGGATTGGACGGGTTGGTGGCATGAGTAAGGCACATCATGCAGAGGTGGTGAAACGGGATGATGGAAAAGAGAGAGTAGATGCGGTTATGAGGCAGCAGGAAGAAGGGAGGGCTGAAGTGGGGAGAACTGCAGATTATCCAAAGGCTGACGTGGATGGTCTTGCGAGTGAGGTGGATAGGGTGAAGGATGAGGTGGAGGGATTGAAGACTGACGTGGCACGTAGGGCTAGAATGGAGGAGAGAAGTAAGGAGGTCAATGATCTGAGGAGAGGGGTGGAGGAGGTCAAAGGTGAGATGAAAGCTGAGATGGGAAGGCGGATGCCTGATGATGAGCTGGATGAGAGGAATGGGATGAACGATTTGAGGAACGCAATGGAAGACCTTAAAGTAGAGATGAATCTGAGGATGACGCTGGCTGAGGAGCAAAGGAAGACAGCGATGCTGGAATGGTTGGAAGATTTGAAGCATCAGGTGAAGGAGTGGAAGGCGGAGGTGACAGGAGGGTTGGATGATCTGAAGCAACGGATGGATGAGGGGGGAAGCCAGGCAAGGGAGAAGATGGATGACTTGAGGTGTCAGGTGGAAGAGGAAAAGGCGGAGATGACAAAGGGGCTGGATGATATGAAGCAACGGATGGATGAGGGGGAGAGGGATGCGATGGGGAAGAGGGGTGCGCTTGCTGAATGTGCGTTGGACAACCAGGAGAGTTTGTCTGATTTGAGCACTCGGTTGGATGGTTTCCAAGAAATTACCACCAGGATTGATGCTGAAATCAAATCATTGTGGGAGGTAAGTGTGATGTTGCTCCCTTCTATATCGTTGCATCTCCTTTTCTGCCTGCTTGGATCCTCAAAACTCTACATTAATGTCATGTGTGTACTTCGTCCCAATATCAGCTGGCATGCGCTACAAGGCTTGCAATACCAAATTGTGCTCTGCTGTGTGTGCTTTCCCACAGGCGTTTCACAGTGTCGGGCTGTAAACAAGATGCATATGGTGAAGCAACTAACGTGCTGTGCTGGCCTTGGGGTCTCTCATTCGGTCACCAGCCATGTCTACCCAGAGCGGCAGCGCATGGGGTAACCGTAAAAATGCCTAGCATGTTTATGCAAGCCGTGAGGCAAGGCTATTGGGGGGGGGGGGGGAGGGGGAGAGGGGGGCGGGGAGAGGAGGATTGTGATGGCTAACTTTCTCCCCATGACAATTTCTGCTGCACCTCGTCTACTCCAGCAACTGGGGCAATCTTCCAACAGCAGCACCACGGCAACTGCGGTCAACGAAGCCCTGGCAGCGATGGGGCTTGGGGCGGGGGAGCGCAGTCAGGGGAGGGGTTTGGGTTTGGAGGCAGTGTGGTGGGGATGAAGGAGTGGTGGAATGGTGTTGAGAAGGCGATTAAGGGCTGGGAGAAGGTTCCCCTAGCAGTTTTTAAGATGTTTGCGAAAGGTTCCGATGGATTTCTACAGTGAATTGGTGAAGGTTCTGGTGAGGTGGTCAAGAAGCTGGGCTGGGGATAGGTGATGCGTGGGGGAAGGAAGGCTACTAGTTGAAGGGGGGAAGAAGGGGGGAAACATACTGTAGAATTTTCGACCAATCATGTTAGCTGGCAGTGGCTTTTACTCAGGCCCATAGTTATCAGGCTTTTTACGCTGATTTTGCTTTCTTTCAGGGTGTTCTCTTGTACCGACCCTGATGAATCAGCCTTAAAAAGGAAAGAACCAAGGCTAACCAGTAAGAAACCACTACCAAAAACTGATTTTCAGGGTGTTTTTTGAGATCGACACGACACTGATCAATCAGCGTGGCCTAAAACGAATCTGAGGGCTTGCTTTTACTACTAGTTCTGTTGCTATTTTGGAACAAGATGATTGGCGTGGTGAGGTGTGGTTGGATTGGGTGCCATACAGTTAAATAAAAATGGTACAAACAGAACCTGATCACTATCAAACCTAGAATTTAATAATATGAGAGAGAGAGTACACAAACATATACCTAAATGTTGTACTCTCTAGAAGGTGACCCTATACAGTCTATACAAACATGATAACTACACATGTTTGACACACCCCCTGGACTGCATAGGGGAATGTTCAAGACAAGTAGCTCAGGGTGGCACTACTAGTCCAGCCTCTGAGACAAGGGTCTAAAAGACCAGTCAGAAGGAGTACAGACAAGGCAAGAACGAGTACAGGGCGGCACTACTAGTCCAACCACTGTGAGAGGACACAAGTCCAGTCTGAGTGTATACATATATATATATACGACAGTACAAAGTCAAGGCCCGAGTAAGTGAGAGACTACAGGAACCAGACCAAGCTGTAAACAGTGCCGCTGATGATCTTTAGGCGCAAGCGCCTTCGTAAAGATATCAGCTGTGTTGGCACCGGAGGCCAAGTGTACTACGCGAGCCTGGCGCCGCTGCTGTAGCTCGCGCAGGAGGAAGTACCGCAGCTGGATGTGCTTCGCTCTGCCCTCGAGTCGAGGCTCCTGACACAGGAGAATCATGGCCCTATTGTCAGCGTACAGGACCGGGGCAGAGCTAGGCCGCTCACCTAAGTCAGTGAGCAAGAAGGTCAGCCAGCGGAGCTCCTGTGCCGCCATGGCACCGGCGTAGATCTCAGCCTCACAGCTGGACTGGGCAACCGACGAGGAGCGGGTAGCTCTCCACGAGACAGCACCTGAGCCAAGGCTAAAGCAGTAGCCCTGGGAAGACCTGAGCGTCTCGGCGTCGTCTGCCCAAGAAGCGTCTGTGTGTCCAGTAAGGACCACTGGCCTGCGTCCGCCTAGCACTAACCCCATGCCCGATGTACTTGCAAGATAACGCAAAACCCTCTTAGCGGCAGACCAGTGCTGAGGTCGGTGTCTGCCTGTGGCCACAAAACGAGCCAGGATGCTGAGAGGGTATGCGAGATCTGGGCGAGTGCAAGTCATCAGGTACATGAGGCAACCCACTAGCTCAGCGTAAGGACCACTGGGATCTACCGACTCCTCAGGAACTGGAGCGGAGAGTCTGTGGTCCAGAGGAAGAGGGGTGGGCTGTGCGGAGGAGAACTGAAGGCCGAACCTCTGAAGGACCTGGCGCACCAAGTGTGACTGAGTCAGGGTGATGGTGCGGGCGGCTCTGTCCCTGGAGATCAGCAAGCCAAGGTAACGGCGTAGCTCTCCAAGGTCAGTGCAGGTGTGTCTCTTCAGCAGCTCTGCCTTCACGGAGGCCAGTGCGTCCCTGTCAGCTGTGGCAAAGACCAGGTCGTCTACGTAGACGAGGATGTAGAACGGAGTCGAGCCAGCACGAACGAAGAGCGAGGGGTCTGCAGAGGACGGAAAGAACTGCAGGTCAGCAAGAGTAGCACGCAGCGTGTCGTGCCACTCACGAGGCGCCTGGCGCAGGCCGTAGACTGGGCGCCGCAGAAGCCACTGGGTCCCAGGGGGGAAGGTGCCAGTAAAGCCCTGAGGACGACGCAGGTAGACCTGCTCGTGAAGGCTGCCCTGAAGAAAGGCAGTGGAGAAGTCGAGGGAGTGAAGCTCGTAGTCACGCTGAGCCGCTACGTGTAGCAGAACCCGAAGAGTAGTCATCTTCGGGGTAGGAGCGAAAGTCTGAAAGAAGTCCACCCCCTCGCGCTGACTGAAGCCTCTAGCCACGTAACGCGCCTTGAACACAGGCGGCTCTCCAGGAGGGCGCTTCACCTTGAAGAGCCAACGGCCATCGACCACGTTCACCCCAGGTGGGGGAACTGCGTCGACGAAGGTGCCGGTGGATCTCCAAGATGCCATCTCCTGCTCCATGGCAGCTATCCACTGAGAGGCCCAAGGTCCCGAAACCGCCTCAGCGTAAGTACGAGGGGTCGGGATGTCAAAAGCGTCTGGGTCACCCTCAGGGACTAGCAGCATGGAACAGAGATGGGGAGCAGCCTCGGACAGGAAAGCAAGCTCAAACTGGCGGTCCTCCAGGACGTCACTGCCGAGGGCAGGAGCACCCCCGACAGACGGAGGACAGGCAGGGTCAGAGACCAGAGCGGAGGCGTAGTCAAGGCGGCGGGTAGAGGCGAAGTCAGCGACCGCAGCGACAAGGGCGTCAAGACTCGACACTGGAACAGACGGGTCGGTAACGAGAGAGGCAAGGACCCGAGGAACAAGAGGACGAGCGGCACGAAAGTAGTCAGACAGAGGAGGAGACGCAACGACAAGAGAGGACGGAGGAGGAGACGGGAGGAGGGGAGGACGAGACGCGTGGGAGCGGAGCAACATAGGGTGAGTGCGCGGGACGGGGGAGACAGGACGAGCACGGGAGGGGCGGCGAGACCAGACGTGAGAGGGCGGCGTCGGGTCGGGAGACAGAGGAGGGGACACGGGTGGGGAACGAGGGGGAAAACGAGCCGGGGACGAGTCCGGCGGAGGGAACACGGGGCCGTAGACGGGAAGAGGGGGAGACAGCCGGAGAGGAACAGGCGCAGGGTCAGGGGACGGAAGGCCGAGCAGACGGAGGGCGGACACCGGCGGGGACTGCTGCTGCGGCGACACAACACCAACGCCAGGGCCACAAGCTGCGCGACGGCGACCTCCCGAACCCTCCACACCGGCACCCCCAGAAGGGACACCCCAGAGCCCGAAACACCGCCAGCACCGGTACCACCCCCAGGCCCGCGGGGACAAGCCACGACAGGAGCCCCGGGACGAGTACCCACCTCAACTCCAGCACCCCCAGAGTCCACAAACAGGGGCAGCGACGACGGCGGCGGCGGCGGCGGCGGCTGCAGCGACGGCCTCGACGGCGGCGGCGGCGGAGACGACGGCTGCAGCAGCTGCGGCGACGGCGGCTGCGGAGGCGGTGGAGGAGGAGACACCGGGGGAGGGACAGACGGCGAGGACTGCGCCAAAGGACTACCAGAGTCAGAAGACTCGTCGACCGGAACGACCGACGGGAGGGGGGTCACGTGAGACACACCAGAGGGGGCCGGACGGGGGGGCGGGGGGGGGGAGGGGCAGGGTCCACCAGGGAGGGAGGAACCAGGAACAGGGGGGGAGTAACCGGGGACCACGGTGGGGAAAGCGGCGGAAGAAGGAGACGGACTCGTCAAAGGTGACGTCGCGAGAGTGAAAGAAACGGTGAGACGGCGGGTGGTAGAAGTGCCAGTCGGACGCGTCAAGGGGGAAACCGAGGAAGACGCAGGGGAGGGTGCGGGCAGTGAGCTTGTCCGTGCCAGAGGCACGAACGTGAGCAAGGCAGCCCCAGACGTGGAACGCAGACGCGTCACCAGGGGACCCGGTCCACAGAAGGGTCGGCGAAACCTGCGGCCGCTGGGGGTGCGGCCACAGGTTAAGCTGGTGAGCGGCGTAGCGCACGGCGAACGGCCACAGAAAATGGGGTGCACCGGCGTGGATCATGGAGGTGCGAGCCACCTCCATGACCAAACCGATGCGTCGCTCAGCGACCCCATTCTGCTGCGGGGAGTCCGGCAGGGTGAACGTCTGGGTGATGCCCTCCGCACGACAGAAGCGACCAAGGACACCTGAGGCGAACTCGCCACCCCGGTCGGAGTGGAGGCGCAAGGCAGGGAGACCGCGGTGGAGACGAGCAGAGACAAGCCAGGGGATGAGAACGTCAGGCACGTCGGCCTTCCGCTCCAGGGGAAAGACGGTGGTGTAACGTGTGAAGTCGTCGACAAGCACTAGGAAGAAGCGCTCGCGACGCGGCCCATGGACCGGGGCTGGGCCCCAGACGTCCATGTGCAGAGTCTGCAGGGGTGCGGTGGTAGGGGGAAAAGAGGAGGAGTGAGGGGCACGGCGGAGCCGGCCCTCGACACAAGGCGTGCACGGTGGGGCGGGGGATGAGGGAAACTCAGGGAACGAACCGGGGAGACCAAGGACGAGACCGTGCTGGGACATGTGACGCAGACGCGGGAGTGCAGGGTGGCCAAGGCGGTGGTGCCAAAGGAGAGTCGGATGAGTGAGGGACCGACAGGAGCACGCAGCAGCAACCTGGGTGGACGCAGCTACCTGGGGGGAAGACCCAGCCGGGGACGTCGCGGTGTCAAGTGTGAACAGGCCGGACACCGGGTCCCGGGGGAAAGTGGTAAGGGGGGCACCAGTGGCGGCCTCGGTACAGACAGCATACCGCTCGTGACCAGGGAACGTAGTGGTGACGCCAAGGTCCTGGAGGCAGCCGACACCAACTAGGTTCCTGGAGAACGAGGGGATATGCAGACCGGTGAGCGAACCTGAAGGAACCGCCGGACAGGGAAGGGAGGTGGAACTGCGGGCAAAGACGGGACCACCGGAGGGGTCAGCAAGAGTAACTGCAGCAGGAACAGGCAGCGGCGTCAGCGTCGTGGAGTCGCGGAAGAAACACCCGGAGGCGCCAGAGTCCAAGGTGAAGGAAAGCGCAGCAGTCGCGCGGGGCGACAGTGAAGCGGTGGAAGCACCGAGGCTAAGCAAAGCAGGAGATCCTACGCCTGACGCAGCAGGGGAGTCTACGCTAGGCACAGCTACACTAGGCAACACGGGGTAATAAGAGGGAAGCACACTAGAGTCATCGGCATACATCACATGCAAGGCTGCTACAATGGCATCCATGTCCAAGTCAAAAATCCGAATGCTACGCCAAAGCAAGCTGTGCCAGTCCGGGAGGTCGGGCGCCGGGCCAAAGCGCTGGCGGAACAGGTCGTCCAGACGACGAAAACAGCGAGGAGT